GTATGTCTATCAAGAGCTACATCTCCACCTGCTCTTTTATATGAATCCACTGCGTAGTAATAGAATATATTTATCATCTATATGTGTTTGTTATTCTTTTCTTCATTTTTGCCTTCTCTTTTAGTAATTTCTATAGAAATCAAGAAAAAAAATTTAACAAATATTCGTTTAACTAAATATTTGAAATAATGAACGTCGTTATTTAAACATAGAATAGTATTCGTTCAATTGATTTATCAAAATATTTTCTATATTTTTCTTGTTTATTTAAGAAAATAAATGAAATTGAATAGAACGTTTATGTAATGGTTGATTATATTAATAAAAATATTTGATCTATCACTATCACCATGAACTTTAATGTCACAAACTCCATATGAAGATTTTTAATGTTTAATTTATTCGATAAGAAATAGTAAACAACTGTTGATAGTTAATCGTTTGAAGACGCGTGTATATTGTCTTTATTGTCTATTTGACATTGATATTAAAAGAAAACTGTTATTTTCTAACGAGTTTTTCGATATTTCGATATGAAACTAAATCGAACGAGCATAAATCAATGATAAGAATGATCAATATATTTGATATAAGTTTGAAGAATATTTTCAAATAGAAGAAAAGCAAAATAAAAATATTAAATCTTAGACAAAAAATTTCTTCGATTGTTCCTCTTCGATATTTCCATTTAAATATAATTCCTATTGATAACTATACTGAAAATATGAAAGTATTTATTAGTTCTTTTTATATAGTTATTTCTGAATAGATTTATCAAGGATAAGAAAAATAACGACTAATAGAGAACGTAAGAAAAAAAACATTTCGTTCCAAATATCGTTATTTAGACAACGAAGAAAATATAGAAATTGGGTGTAATCGATTGTTTTCAAGCGAAAATTCTTTTTTTTATTGATTCTTAAAGATTTACATACTTTTTTAGTGAAATTTTCATTAAAAAGAATTAATTTATATTCTTTTCTTTTAACATAAAATAATAATAATAAGAAAGTTTAACATAAAATAATAATAATAAGAAAGTTAAATGAACTGAATAGATATTTTACAATAAGAAAACATTTTTAAGTAGCAAGTTCTAATTAAAAATCTCTTTCTAAATCAATATACGTATAAATTGAAAAATTCTTATATTGTTTTATGAAAAACTTTTCATTTCAGTGTTAATATATTGTACAATATTATATTTAAGGAAAATATGTTTCAATTTTTCTGATTCCTACTATCAAATTATCGAACGTAAGAGAGATCTTTTTAAGAATCCAAATTAACAATTTGAGACTAAATCATATTAGTTAATGCTCAATACATTAAATGCTGATTTTTTTTTATCAGATTTTTGGTCTGAATCTTTAATCTTGTTTGTGTAATAAGAAATTTCTTCGTTGATTACTATTGACATTAGTTTAAAAAAGTTATTTCATGTACTTAAAATCAGTGATTAATCGTCAATGATTTTCTTCTTCATTTTTAACGATAAACTATGAGATTATTTATACATGAACTTTTATTTTACTGTTAAATTTTGAAGGTCTTATTACTGGTTTAATTTATTGATCAATGTTTTCATTACAAAATTGAAAGTTCACATTAATTTCTACATAGAAATTATGTAACTAAATCGTTAAATAAGAACTCTACATACAATTTGATATAATGAGAAAAAAATAAATACGAAAAAAAGATTAAAAAATTCTCTAAAATCGATGATTTGTATTTGTTTATTTCTGAAAGGCTTCTATGCTTATTTATTAACGCTCATTAATTAAAAATCTTGAAAAAGGAATGAAAGAAACATAAGTGAGAAGTGGAGTTATAGATTAATATAGAATCATCTAAAATAAATTATGCGTTGTTGCAAAGAAACGCTTTGAAACGAATGATTGTGATGACGACACTTATAGTACGATCATTTCTGGAATTATCTAATATCGTTTATGACAAAACTAATCTTTTTTTGTTTTAAATATCTGTCATTATATTTCACTTTTCAATTTATAAATTCTTAAGTAATTAGTTTGTAGTTCATCAATGATTACTAAAATCAATGATTACTAAAATCAATGATTGAACACGTTTTCATGACATAAGAATGTGACTATGAAACTTGTCGAAGATTTTTATAGGATTTATTTTCTAATGGTGATAATATGAGCAATAGTTGAATAGAATGATTAATATTTCAGTTCAATCTGTAATATCTTAAGAGAATTAGAAATTAATAAATCTTACGTAATATTTCGTGTAATACTAATAATTTTTTTTATTTATTTTATTTACGTACAAATTTGAATAACTTTTTTACTGTCTTTTATGACTTGTATCATTATATGTCGAGTCGAGGTTATTTTTCATTTGGCAGAACAGGAATTGTAGGATTGACTGTAGATATAATCTATCAACAAATAATTAATTAGAAATATTTTCTTCAAGTATATATTAAAAATAAATAATCATTTCTTTGTCTTTGATTTCTATATAATATAAGAAGGTCGACATATGTGCGAGATAAAACCAATATTGATTTTATTTTGAAAGAAAAAAAGATATTATAAAAATGATGCGTTTGAAATGAAAAAGACGAATTTAATACTAAAATAGATCCTTTCAAATAGATCATATTCTCATTTATTTTTACTCATACTTGTTTTTTTATTATAAAACTTAGATAAACAAGCGTTTAGAATAAAAATTTGAAATAAATAAGTATCATTATCTCTTTTTATTTTGATGATAACTTAACAATTCTTAGAATATAAGGCTAAGATTTCTTTGCTGTATCATTTATTAAATTAGTTTCATGTCAAAAAATAACTCACACTTATTATTTTATCTTTCTTGAAGTTAAAAAATCTTTAACTATGTTATACAATTACCGATCATTTGTAATAGATCACTGAATTGCACATGATTTTGATCATAAAGAAGAGCGGTGTCGCTGGACAAATCATCGGGAATCGAAATAGTTAAAAAATCTAAGATAATTGATTCTATATTGCAAAATAAATGAACAAAGATTTTGATTGTATTTCAAAATTGACTTGATTTTTCTTTCATAAATAAAATCGATAAAAAAAACATTATTTTTCTCTTTTCTTCTCATGACTTATCTATTCGTCTTGGTTCTCTTAACCACATGTCATTTTTAGTAAGAGCGATCAACGACGATATTAAAGAATAAACGTAAAGAAGAATGGCCTTATAGATGATTGTTTGACAGAACAAGAAAAAAATGATAATTGTAAGCTTTAGAAATATTTTTTTGTCGTTACGAACAAAATAACAAAACGCAGCCACGTGGAAAAAAACGTGTCTCTTAGAATATTTTCAAATATCGAAATAAAACGACTTTTACGTATCGAACCGTGTTCTAATCTTATCTTAAGATTTCGATTAACAACTGTAAAGAATGAAATATTTATGGTGTGATATTTGAGCAACGAAGAAGAAAGTTAAGTTTATTCTGATAAAGAAAACATTTCATTTCAAACTGATATTAATATAAAATAAGATAAAGAAGAATTTGCTTATTATAATTTTATCTCATTTTTGAATAAGTATTTAAACATTTTGAGAGAATCAAATTCTTTTTATTCAACATTTTACTTTATATTTGGAGACTTTTAGAGTAAAATACTTTAATTATTCTCATTTAAAAAATGTAAACAAGTAGCGTTCATCGAAAGTCGATTCACTTGGCCCTAGACTGTCGTGGTCTGCATTCTAATATACCTGTATTTAGACACGAATGAGAGTTAATCAAGATTAGTTTTGATTCTCAGCAAAAAATCAAATTGAATTTCTGCCTTATATAAAATCAAGCATTTTCTAAAAGTTTCATATTTGACGAATGAATAATAAAGTTTAAAAATACTTTAACTTTATTACAGTCAATTTTATAAAAAGTAGGATTTCAAAACAAAAACTACAATGGAGATCTCTGTATCATTGTATATCAAAATTGATTTTGAAGTCTCTTGTCTATATACACTATAGCAAGACTATTAAACTTACAAATTTATTAAAATGTTTTGCAATAATGCAACTACTTGACTTTTAATATGATCAAATTACAATGCGTATGTTTTTAAGCTTCTCATTATTGGTCTTATTTTAATAAGTCGTCGTACAGGACGTTTCGGTGCATCATTGTTTTTTCAAACATG